TATGAAATATCATATCAAAAGAAAATAAAATATTAATGAATAATTTGAACAATACAAAACGTGCTGTTAATAAGCCGCGTTAATTAGCATATTAATTATTGTATTAACTTTCATAATAGGGGCATGAGTTTATATTGAACCTGCAATTATTTTCGGGAACGAAATTGATGAAGGATTTAAAAGGAATAATTTTTACTTCACCCTTTATCCCTCTATCTTCTTTGTAAATTTTAATTTCACGAGAAATTTGTTATTTTCACGCCTTCTTTCAAATTTTTCTGTACACCTATTTTGAAAAAAAAAAAAAAGGGAAAAAGAGGATATAAAAAGGAAAGGAAAGGAAAAAAAAGATGAATGAATAAATCTTCTTGAATTCGATTAAAAGAGCCTCTAATTATATTAAACACGAAAAGAGAAGAAGGTGGGAGGGAAAGAAGGTGTAGAAAAAGTAATTAAACAGGCGAGATTTCAAAGAAAATTTTCTCTTCAATTTTCTCAAGTATTTCATCTTCACGACTCTTTTTTTTAACTTTTTACCCTCTTAACATTTGTCCAATGGAATTTGACAATTTCGTACCGAGTAATTTTTATCTTTATATAGAGAGATTGGATGGGAAATCCAGAGAGAGAGAGAGAGAGAGAGAGATTTTACCAATAGAATTAAAAAGAAAAAAAAAATATTAATAATCGTATTATCCATCGATTCATCGACAGTTGCAAAATTGCAAAATTTTTCCTCGAGATTTGCAATTTGCAAAATTTACGAATTTTACCACTGTCAAGGATCAAAAAGGTAATAGAGCGATGGCGAGTTACAAACTGTAATATTTCTAAGTGGTTCTCGAGAGACAGAGAAGGAGAGAAAGAGAGAGAGAGAGAAGAAAAAAGAAAAAAACTCTCCATTCGGTAACAGCGAGAAAACTATGCCGGATTGTTTCGTAGCCTAATACCCCGGACGAGAGTGCACGCGACCCAGCTACGACTTCCGCCTCGAATCGTCCCCATTTAAATGCATTGTTCCCTTCCATTTGAGATGCGTCGCTCGATGCGACGCTTTAGAAGATCAAAGATACCCAAGGAAACGAGAAATGGGGAAACGAAAGTGCCGTTTCGGGCATCTGTCTGGTAATCATATCGGCCGTCCAAATATCTGGACGAATCGTCCGACAAAACGCATGCGAATTTTCTGCTTCTCTTTTCTAGGTGTCTTATTATTTCCGGAATAACGAAGAGAATACGAAGAGAATTAGAGGCACTTTATTTGTTTTTTTTTTCTTTTTCTTTTTTTTAGAAAATAGAATAAATATAGGAAGAGAGAAATTGGATTTTTCTAAATTGACGATAAAATGTGTTCATTGTTTGCAAAATATGCAAAAATTTCGATTGATTGAAATTCAATAAGATAAGCTTCGATTTTGAATTTGTTTTTGAGCAAAACAATTCTTGCGTTTGCTCTAGAATTAATTCTCAAAAAGATGTGCACAATCTTTATTATTGACAAATATGTATCAAAGGATTTAAAAAATATTGTAACAAGTTGTTCTATTGATAAATAATCAAAATTGATAAATAATATATGTAAATAAAACAAGTAATTTCAATCGAGATATATTCTTTATTTGGCCAATTAAAAGAATCTAAGATAAAATGAATAAATCATTTAAGGAAATATATATATTTCTTAATAAAAAATTCTTAAAATATCTTTGAGAATAAATATGTATTATTAAACAATAAATATAATAAATAAATTAATATAAACATTTAAAAACTGTATATTAAAACATATAATTATTTCTATCGAAATCGAATAATAAATAATTAACGAATATTTATTTAACGATATTAATCTTCATATAAGTTGAATATTAATACATTTTCATGAACGAATATTAAAACAAATGACGAGTTTTTCATCGTTAATTCCTCCAGAAAAATAAAAATTCATTGGCCAACATTGACTTACAGAAAAACACGATGTTACCATACCATAATGAAATTCAACAAAATATCTACAAAAAAATAAAAAAAACAACAAAATACAAATTCCTTCCAATTATTTTCCAATAACTCGCAGGAATCAACAAAACCTATCGAAAATAAATCTCCCCCTCCTCAATCGATAGACAAAGATCCTCCCTCCCTCCCTCCCTCCCTCTCTCTCCTCCACAGATCTCACTTTTTTTCAATTAACGTCATGACGCACCGAAGTCAGCGTGTATTCATCCAGAGCTGGATTCCCCGGCGATTATTCCCAGCATGGAAGTAAAACAAACTGTGCCTCGTTCCCGGAGATGCGCAGGCACGAGGTAGCCCTGCAGAAGCGGTCCCCGATGCCTCTTTTCAGAGATGGGGGGTCGGGTCCGGNGGATACGGGGAGAGAGATTAATTTTAAGGGTGTGTGATTACATTTTAAGAGTGGGTGGATATCGGGATTGTAAATTTTGATCGTGAAAGACGGCAGACATACGGTAGGTATATTTTAATCGGTTTTTTCTGAGTTTTGTGAATTTCGTGTGCGAAAAAGGGGGGAGGAAGAAAGGGAAATCGCGCAAAAAACGAGTGTAATTATTGCCGAGTTTCGCCGAGATCTATTTGCCCGTCGGAAGATTCGTTAAATCTGGTTGTAACTCATTAAAATCGGGTAAAACTTTCTTGGATCTTGATTCGGCGAACAAGGTGGCATTACTTTTAATTAATTTAATTAACATCGGTGTGGGACTGGTAGGGAGTGTGGGAGAGAGGTAGAATAACATTTCTTGCTGATAGTCTTAAAGGGGGGCGTGAAACGTGTGTCACCTACTTTTCACTACTTGATAAAAAGTTTTTAATTAACGAGGCGCGATACAATTATCGAACTGCAAAACTGTTATTCCTAATAAGATTTATAATCTTTGTCTTTTCAATATTCCAAATTCCACTCGTTCCACTCGTTTCGTGATCACAAATTTCCAATTCATTTTGTTCTTCGATATGAAATTCTACTGTGCAATGCAGAATTTATATATTCGATTCTTAATTATTATTGAATACGAAAAATGTTATTAAAGTTATTTTAAAAAGGTGTTGATTACTTTTATCCAAAACTGTTATTTCTAATAAGATTTACAATCTTTGTCTTTTCAATATTCCAACGACTCGTTTCGTGATCACAAATTTCCAATTGATTTTGTTCTTCGATATGAAATTCTACTGTGCAATGCAGAATTTATAACGTGTTATTCGATTCTTAATTATTATTGAATGCGAAAAATGTTATTAAAGTTATTTTAAAAAGGTGTTGATTACTTTTATCCAAAACTGTTATTTCTAATAAGATTTACAATCTTTGTCTTTTCAATATTCCAACGACTCGTTTCGTGATCACAAATTTCCAATTCATTTTGTTCTTCGATATGAAATTCTACTGTGCAATGCAGAATTTATAACGCGTTATTCGATTCTTAATTATTATTGAATACGAAAAATGTTATTAAGGTTATTTTAAAAAAATGTTGATTACTTTTATCCATTTGTCTAATGGAAATCTCGTTTTTTATGTTACAGAACTTTTATGCTAAATCATTATGGATGTCGTCAATTTGGATCACGTCAGGTGAGTTACAGTTCCATATTAAACGATTAATTAATATTTATACGCTTTATACTGATATCATTCTATTATTACAAACAATGGACAAACTGATAAAAATTCATGAAATTTGTATACCGTAATTAAACAATGCACTTTGTAACAATATGAAAAGTATCTGCTTTCAATGAATCGGAATATCGGAATTAATTTACTTTTTTCAAAGTGGATATCTTTTATCATTTCTGTCTTAATCTTCGTTCAAACTTTTTATTTTATTCACTGAGAGGAAAATCCGCTCGATAAAAAAGTTCCATCCAGATTTCGAGTAAGATGGAAATTAAACAGATACAACTTGTAATAAAATTTCTTCGGTTATTTACGATCTATCGCTATTTTCTCGGTGGTGGCATTTCAATATCGTCTCTGCACATAAAACTGGGGGGGTAGTAAAATGGTTAAGAGAAGCAGACGGACAAGTAGAGCACGAAACGGAACAATAAAGATATGATGCGTGGGATGATGTGCAGTGAGATAAAAGAATGTGAGAATATGTGAGAAAATGATTTTGTGAAATCAAGTTTTTCTGATAAATTTCAATTTCATTTTATGTACGTGATATTTTCTCATGATGATAATAACGATGTAATAAAATGATAATATAATACAAGCATAAATGGAAAATTCAAAATTTTCAGGAAGAAATTCATTGAATCATCCGTGGATATTTAATAAATATGAAAGAAATAATGATTCGACTATTATTCATTATTATTTTTACATTAAAAGTGTAATTAGAATGCTTTTTACGTTATATTATTGCGTTATCCTTTTATTCTTAATGACTTTTATTTAATTATTTAATTATTATTAATTAAGTTAATGTATCATGTTACTCTAATGTATACATTAAATGATGTAATATAAAAATTGTCAAAATATGTTCTCCACATAATGACTTAATAATTTTGAATTAGGAGAAAAGTTTTTCTTTTCTCAAAAAAACAGAATTATCATATTGTAACAAGTGACTGAATATTTGTTATGTACATTTAAATTAAATAGATTCACTTGACAAACGAATATAAAAGCAAAATATTAAAGTTTCATTTATACAAAAAAGCAAGAACAAAAATTAATTACTTGTGTAAAATCTCTTCAAATCATATAATACCAAACAAAGCAATTATTTCAAGCGATGAATGTCTGTACAAATTTTCTCTTTCCATTTGAATGTAAAATTTTATCTTGGAATTATTTTATTTTTTTTCCAAGAAGATTAACAAGGATAATTCCAAGATAAATAATAATAATAATAATAACTGTGACAAATGGAATAGAAATTCCATTTTCCACGAAGTCATACTCTGCAAAAGCAATTTATGTATCGTGAACATTAAGCAATTTTAAATGGAATAAAAGCTATTCCCGACGAAGTCACACTCAATTATTCCAAGAGAATCTCAAAGTACAATAAAACATTTCTCCCGAAGTACCGCTATATTAAGAATATCAGCTATTTTATATAGCTCCTCCGAAGATTACTTAAACCAAAGGATAAAGAAGTATTAAATCTCTTTTTGAATAAAATTTTACGTAATACGCCTTTCTTTCCTTTTACAAGAAATTTTCTTTTATTAAAATTCAATAACAAAAGAATAAGATAGGAACCGTTTAACTCGGTTTTCAGTTCACGACCAATCGAGCCTAACGGCAAATTAAAAAGTTAAACAATTTTTCTTAAGCAAACTTCGAGAAAATAAATAAATAAACTTGGCCAGAGATGTCCGCGCCACTTGGTTCGTTTAAACTCTCGTAATGAATCTTGCAATATTTTCCACGTGAAATAAGAGCTACTTTAAAGCTTCGAAATTTAAAAAAAAAAAAAATGACAATCCTTATACCACCTATATATGTGATATGTGAGAAATAAAATTTCAATCCAAATTTTGTAATCCAAAAATCTATCTATTTTTCATAATCGTTTATTATAAACTAAATAAAAAATTCCTACTCAAATTCTTCTAGCTTTCTCTCCTGAATTCACGAATCAATGAAAACTGATAACGCGCAACGTTAAAAGCCTCGTCATAAAAGGAAAATGGAGGGGGGAAAGGAAAATCTGTTCCATCTCCAACACCTCGAACACCATCACGAACAGCGTTCAAATAATATTCGACATCCCCGCGACACGAGACGAGAATTCACCCGCGAGCAACGCTTATCAATTCGCAATATTTCCGGCGTTTAAGCTGCTCCCTACGAGTCTTTCTCTCTATCTTAAGTCGCCGAATATCTGTCGTCCTTCTCCCCCCTTCCCAATAAACAAGAGGCTTCGCGCTTCTCCAGCCTTCCCCCTCCATATTCCACGTCCCATACTTCCCTCTCTTCTCTCCCCCTCCCCCTCCATCTTCCTTTCACCCTACGTTGCTCGCCTTCTGAATTCTATTCCGACTTCCGTTGAAGATCGTCGCTGGCCCGGTTGGCTTGGCTGGCTGACTGGCTGGCTGGCTGGCTGGCTTGGTCTGGCAGAAGCGTGCCGTGACGTGGAAATGCAAATTCCGCCCATGCGGCTCGTTGAATTATTATTTTAAGTCCCGTAACGGCCATTCGCTACGGGAAAATCTCATGAAAATTAATTTATTTTAATGCACTCCCTCGGCCCGGGGTCCGGGGATGCAGCTACGAAACGAGAAGAGCGAAAGTAACTCGAAGGAGGGGGCCGGGGAGGGAGAGGGGGAAGTGTGAGTTTCGGTGAGGTATGGAGGGGACGGTGGAGATGGGAAGGGGGAGGGGAGAATGGAAGGGTGTGAAGACGGGAGAAAGACGGTAGACGAGGAGTTTAACGTTCGACTCGTGCGTCTTTTTGACACCCATACCACGATTCCTCTTCCTCTTCCTCCGCAGACCGATCCGGAATCCGGAATTCGCAGACGGTTCATTGCGGATAGACGAATATTCCGTTCCTGTGGACCTGTGGATTTTTCAGTTACCTTGTTCCATTCGATTCGTGTTCTTTCTCTTATTCTTTATTTCGTTTCTTTATATTCGAAATTTGAAGATTGGAAGTTTGCACGTCGAGTATATAGCATCGTGGAATATCGATAGTGTGTTGATATATTTTTTCATATAAGACGTTCAAGAGATTGATTTCAGGAAGCGAGGGAACAGTTGTTGGTATACGAAAATATCGATCGATGCTTATTTATTAAGTTGTAAGCGATTTAAATTTTAGACGAGGAGGAAAAAACAGATAGAGCGAGACGCATTGACGCGGCACGGCGCCTGAAAACAAATTTCAATCGCTTACAACTTCGTAAATAAATTTCAATCAACATTTTTCTGTACCAATTTTTACTTCTTTTGCCGTAAATCGATCCATTGATTTAAAGATATGGCACAAATATATTAATCCTCTTAGAACATCTTTTTTCCTTTGCCATAAATTAATATTTCTTCTTGTTAAAATTTTATGCTAATCCTTTATTGCTAAATACTCTTATACATACTCTTTAAATTAACTTAAGTCTCTTTAAAATGGTCAAAAGTTCCAAAAATATCTATCGAAGTTTATTTATTAAATTGCGATTTTCCGTTTAGACGAAGAGAGAAACAGATAGAGCGAGACGATTCTACGTTCACCGTATTGCCGCGGCATGGCGCTGAAAACAAATTTCAATCGCTTACAAGTTCGTAAATAAATTTCAATCAACATTTTCTTGTACCAATTTTTTTCACTTCTTTTGCTGTAAATCGATCCATCGACTCGAAGATATCGCACAAATATATTAATCCTCTTCGTACATCTTTTTTTTCTTTCCTCAAATTAATATTTCTTCTCGTTAAAATTTTATATTAATCATTATTTTATATTATTTTATTATATTACATTTATATTACATTTTATATTAATTATTGTTAAATATTCTTGCTGAATACTTTTTAAATTAACTTTCTTTAGAATGATCTGATCTAACCTAGCATTCACGGATTCTTACTTAAATGCATATGGAACACCCTATAAAAAGAGAATCAATCCACGATTCAGAACTGACAGAACAATTCGAGAAGAAATCCTGCCCCGGTCGTTCTTCCCCAACAATCCCCGGATCGTCTTCATCTATAGGCGCGGAACTACGCCGATCTCGTACCGACGAACTTTACGGGACGATAATAGACAGATTTATGAGACGGCTTATCGATCCTCGACTAAATCCAATTTTCGAGTTCGACGCTCGCGTATTATAGTCAGCCCAGCGTTTCCTCGCCACGAAGTGTGTGTGTGTGTGTATGTGTGTGTGTGTATGTGTGTGTGTGTAGGAAATTTCCATGAGAGGGATGCAGAAGCGAATTGTTCGCAAGAATTTTTTGAAATATTTTGAAATACCGAAGCTGGACGAGCGTGGAACACATAGTTTTTTTGAAGAGGCGATCCCGTGTCGATCGTGTCGTTAGGTATCCCCCACAAATTGGACTGATTGGAGGTGAATATCGATTTTTGTTTCGGTTGACGCTCGAACTGATGAATATGCAACCGTGTTTCCTTGGGCTTCGCTTTGATCTTGGAACGAAGCGGAGCTTGTACCTGTATCTGACTTGTTTTAATTGGTGAGCGTAATTTTGTTTACCCCGTTTCTTTCTCCCAGGGATCGTTCTTTGGGAGTTTAATTTTTATTTTTAATCGAGGGCAACTCGCTTTGTTTCTGACTCTTCTTTCATTCTTCATCCTCTGTCTTATATCGAGTTTGTTTATCATTCCGTGGAATACATTTTTTTTTTTTTTTTTACATTTCCAAAATAATTTTATTTTCTTTCACTTGCATTTTTTTTCTTTTTTCTTTTAATTCATAATATATAATTTGATCTATCTGCTTTCCTCTTTGGGAAATTTTATTTGATATTTGTTGCGATTCATACAAGATTAGCACTGTTTCGAGTTTCTTTTATAGTCAACGAGAATAATTCACGTTTTCCAGAGTTTTCCATTTCTTACGGAATGGAATTTGTTACGTATTTTTATAACGGGATTATCGTTTGCTTTGAATTATTTTTTGTAAAAAACATTTTTATTTTTTTTTCACTCGATATAAGTTATATTTGCTCATTTGAATAAATGAATAAACCTAGTAAAAA